ATAACAGTGGAGGAAAGGATGGGATTTCCAAGCAACAATAAGTATTGTGAGTTACCCTTACTACCATGGCAAAGTATTTTGGGGTGGCTTGGTTTCGAACAGGCAATGAAGAGCCATTAGCTGTACAAAAGACCTGTAACCAATAGAGTCAAAAGGGGCTAGAAAGTGGTTTGTCACTGGAGATGAAGATATTTGGACTCCCTTTCATCTTTGGACTCCCCTTCGAGGACCTGGCTTTGGGAACTGTCAAGAGGAACAGATGCACTCCACAATGGCCTAATACACTGCCATTCTCCTTTCCCCATCACCAAAGAGCCTTACCCTCACCAGCAGGAAAAATCATCACCTGGAAAATTACATGTCAGTCATCTGCAGCTGAGGATAATGCAGGTGCAGCACCCACAGAGAAGCACCAGCAGCTGCTGGAGGCACCTTGAGCCTGGGTGTGGGTGTGTGATGGTCTCGGAGCACTTGCCTTCCAAAGAGCGAGGAGCGAGGGTTGACCCCTACCCCACCCATGACTGCCCCACGCCATGAAGGAGGAGAGGGCCTGAAATAACAGATGGTGAGAGGTAGCAACAAAATGCTGAGGAAGAGAGAGTGATGCGGCCTGAAGCAGTGAGGGAAGGTGCTGTTCCACTTCCAGGATCCTGTTCCCCCCTTCCCAAATCTAGAAATGATCCTCCAAGCTGCCCCCACCCCACCCTCTGCTGGTTTCCTACGCTCCACCGGAGATCATAGTCTTCTGCGATAGCAAGAGGGCAGGTGAGCCCCAACTTTCTTCGATCCCACATAGTATTTAGAAACACACACTCAGTGGGTCCCTCAATGGAAAGGACCCTCCAAAACAGCCAACACCACCACCAAGCCCATCATTCCCAAGGGGGCCTCTTCGCACACACCCAATGCACATTTCCTCTTTGATCCAAACTGGATTTTTCCCCTACGTGGCCAAAATAAGCCATCTCTCCCTTTTAAAAGGACCTCATTTCCCCACAGGTTATCTTAAAGTCCTCAAAGGAAAGGTACTGGCATTTTCAGAAAGGTGAGGTTAGGATGATGACAAAGCCACCGCTGGGGCTAAACAATTCGCCATTCCTCTGACCCTGCCATTTCCCTGCGAAGATGTCTATCTCGTTGTCACCTTAATGGCATCACCCTGCGTCCCAAGAGAATTGGCTAGGAGGCATGGCGATGCGGACGTCCTGTCTGCCATGTGATCCCTGACTGGTTGCAAAACACTGCGATCTCATCATCGCGTTCACTCCGTGATCCCTGATTGGGTGGGATTGCCTGTAGGAACTATCCCTCGAAAGCAACAGCATTTTAGTAAAAATGTCAGAACGATCACTACTAAAGCAAACGTCTTCCTTATGCAGTATGTTGTGGAATAGCTCCTTTCTATGTGAAAGTCCAAACCAGGCATTCTTAGGAGCAGATTTTTTTAAAAAATGTTAACAGGGTTAAATGATGATCAACATTTGCCTTCTGAGATACTCACTGCTGGGAATGCTTTATTAAAACCTCTGGACTAAAGGCTAGATGAGAATTCTATTTCCTTATGCAGATAAAGGAAGGAAGGAAAAGGAAGGAAGGAACTTCCTTTACCTTCTAGAATTTTTTCATACTCTTAACTGAAAGAACTTGAGATTTTAAATGTTTAAATGTGGCAGAAACCAACAGATTCACCCAATTAGGCAGAAGACTTTGAAGGTTTTGCTTTTCAAACACTGAGTTCAAATCCCTCCATGAAATGAAGGTTGCCCCTCCCCCTGAGGTTTCTCATCTTTCACACCTACACACCAGACATGGACAGCGCGATCCTCTCACCCTGGAAATTGTCGCGCTGATTCAATTTGGCTGGCGCAAATGGGGTGAACATTTTGTTGGCTTCGTTTCTGATCAGAACTGCCCAGATTTTGCCAAGTTCTTCATAAATTGAAGGGGAAAGACTTAAAAACCCACGTGTGGGAGAAAGCAACGTAGACTGATTCAGCCATTCCTACTCTGTGATTCCTAACAGGCTGGATCGGAGGCAAGCAAACCACTTCTCTCTGGATGCTGCTGGATTACAACTCTGTTCCGCCCTTGCTGGGGTTGAGGAATGCTGGGGGTTGTAGTCTGAAATGCCCACTTTTTGCCCCCCCCCCGTGTTAGATGCTCACTGAACTGTGATCCAGTACCTCCGGTGACCACTGCTGGCTACTAGGGGTAGCAAGTACGTCACTTCTCTGAGAGCAGCGTGGGAACAAGTCATCGGAAGAGCCCGTTCTCCCATTTGGATACATCCCTGGATGAGTCAAGACTGCCTGAACATGTCAACACACCCTGGAGAAGAATTACATGAGAACGGAGGCAGGACTTTGGCCAGAAGGACTGGATTTGGTGAGGTCCCTCCCACAGGCAAAATCCCTGCGGCAGATTTAAGCCCACATCAATATTCTACTGCAAGGTGTAAATTCTGATGTGTGAATGAAGACAGGAAAAGTTACTTTTTAGACTCCCCAGCCAGCAACAGCCACTGGCTTGTAATTGTAGTTCTGATCTTCTCCTGGTTTGGATATGCATGGAATTGTGTACCTGCAGAGGCTCCACACACCTGGAGAGCACATGGCAAGTAAGTTAGGTGAATGTTCTGTTTTCTACCTGAGGAAGGAGAATTTTTGATGAGAATTGGGGGGGGGAGAGATTCAAAAGACTAAAAACCTTAGAAGTGTGGAGTTAAAAACTGTCATCATCCATCAGTACACCTTTCCTCTCTGGAAGAGGGAGCCTACATCTTAACGGGTAAGCAGTCAACCAAAATTCAACAGATGACTCCATTCTATATAACCAAAACTACCAGTTGCATTTCAGCCTGTCAAGATCGGCAGAGAGAGCCAAAAAATACAGAGGAATCAGCTCTAAAGGGCAGACTGTTTTGATTCATTGTGGGGGAACAGCACAAGTAACACTTTGCAGACACAGAAGATTGATTCCCTGCCGGCCCCAGCAAACTCCCTCTTTCTCCCAGTTTATGGGATAAATCCTTGACTGCAGCTCTCCTCCCTGTTAACCCCCTTTCAGCTAACAGAAGCTGTGAGCAAGCTAAGAGAAGGTGGTTTTAAAAAAAAAGAAAGAAAAGAAATAGATACACCTATAGTTTTCCTCATTCATGTGAGCCAGGAAAGGGGGTCTTGGCTTTTCAAAGAGAAAGGGTTAAAAATCACCAGCCATCAAGGGCTCTAGAAGTTAAAATCAGGAGGGGAAATAGCCCAGAGGTTGGGCTTTTTTTATTAAAAAAAGGAAAAACCCAAAACTCCAGGGATCTATGCTGCACTGCCTTTACACTACCTGTATTCCCACCCCACCCCCACCCCCAAAGGGTCTTGGTTTTCCTACTTACTGCTCAGGGAACTCTATCTGGACCACAATAAAGAGGAGAAAACAAGCTGAGGGCACAGGAAAGATGATACCAAAATATTCTCACCTGCCTTGGATTCCTAAACCATGAACCTGTTACATCATCGGTTCAGACTAGCAATACGGATTTGATATGGGAAGGAGACGCTCTTCCTAATGCTTGCATGCACAAATAAAAATACACACACACACACATACATACACACACCCCTACATAGCCCCAAACCAGCTCCCCATGCAACAGGAAGCACCCTCTGTTTTACACACACACACACACCAGTGTCGCTCCCGAGAAAAGGATGCAACTGGTGTGGTGGTGTTTTTTGCCGGAGCCTGGCATCAAGGCCATGGGGGGTGGGGGTGGGGAGAGAGACCTAGGGAAGCAAGACCTCCTTGCTTTCTCTGGTGTCTCTGTCTAGGGGGAAGAGGATCACCTGCTGCAGAGGCATGGCTGTTGCGCCGAGCTCCAGCCCACCCGAGGTGGTCACGCAAGGCGATGCAGTGACATTGAGAAACCAAAGGGATGGTTGGAGGTGGGGAAGGAGTCGCGGTGCGGGGGGGGGGGGGGTTTAAGCTGATGGCAGAGAAAAACAGTCCAGGGGGGGCAGGGAGGGGGTTTGG